CCTTCCTCATCACAAGGGGAGCCAGAAAATTCAGGGCTGTTTTCCAGAAGGGTGACACAATTTCAGGTCCAGGAGTTCTGGGATTTACGGGGTTTGCTAGAAAAACTACAAGCTAAGGTTAGAGTAATGACTTAGATCTAATTCTTCCACACAGCCAGCTGTCCGTCTCAACAGTATTCCTTTCTATTCTGCACTATTGCTTTGCTTTTGAATGAGGTTTCCCTGACACTTTGCAATCTGTGTGGGCTTTTCTGTCATCTCCGAGTCAAACACCCCCGCCCATATCCTCTCCACCAGTGACTGGTGCTCTGAGAACCTATCAGCTGCCAGGAGCTCAACTCAGAGAACAAGCTGTCATCTCCCACCCACCTGCTCACCAGTCATCCATTGGCTGTGTGTAAAGTGCGAGTCATCATTATTCTGGGTAGGGAAACCTCTTTGTATCCTTGGAAAGGACAGTAAACCACACCTGGTCCTCACATTCCTGGTGGCAGGGTTGTCCTTGGAATTAGATAAAATTATAGTGACTTTGATGGGACGGGAGAGGCACTTCAGTGCACAAGAGGCAGAATGCTTGGGGTTCCATGAAGCCAAGGAGACACAATTAGTGCCCGATGAATGTGAGGAATCTCCTCCCCCATGTGGCAAGCGAGCTTTGGATGTGGTCAGAGAGTAGGCTTACCAGTTCATAAATCTCGAGGGGAAGATTTGCAGTGGATAGGAAGTCGGGAGTGAGGAGGGAAATCTGCCACATGCTACAGCGTGGGTGAACTCTGACGATATTACGCCAAGTGGAACCAGCTAACCAAAAAAATGGTGAACACTTCTACAAAGTACCTAAAATAGTGAAGCTGGGCTGGAAGGTAGAAGGATGGCTTCAGGTCTGACGGGAGAGACAACGGGGAATTACTGGTTCATGAGGGCAGCCTGTCGCTTGCGCAGGATGAAAAGCTCCAGAGATTGGTGTTGCTTGTTGCTGGACACCCCTGAAACACACACTAAACATTGATGAGGTAGACAAGTTTTTATTATTTGTGTCCTGTGCTATGGACAGTTTTCAATAATTTAAAAAGAAACCTAGGTATAACCAAAAGTTGGTGAGAAGCATTCAGAGAGTTTCCGAGATGAGCGGCAGGTGGTGAGGGAGGCTTGCATTTTCCTTCACTTTGGGGAGTCACTGGGAAGCTGGCAGAAGACAGGCAGGAAGAGAGGAGAAGATGGTACTGGGGGCAGTGCTATGGTTTATGTGAGGGTGTCCCCCTAAAGATTTGTGTGCCGAACACTTTACTCTCTATGCAAATAGACTGCTCTATAGAGAAACTGAACTTTATGTGCGGCTCTTTCTGTACATGGCTTTGTTATGTGACCAAGGGAACTTTGACCAGAAGTCAAACAAATGAAATTGTATGATCTGCGGCTTTTAGCCTCCCAAATGTGAGTTAACCCCCCTTTCTTCATAAAGTTCCAGCCTTGGATGTTTTATTCTATAGCAACAAAAACAGACTAATACAAGCAACATTTGTGAGAGGGCTGGGGAATGGCGTCTAGATATTGTAGTGGCGAAAGAGGACTCCTGCATTTGACAATTATAAGATGTGAGAAAGGGGCTAGGGCCAGTTGAGAAGTGGCAGGAGAATCAGAGAGAGACATTAGGGGACATCCGAGTTTCAGTTACTGTGTAAGGGGGCAAAAGAAACTGACCAAGTGACTAAAATTGTCAGAACGGCCTGGATCTTCATGGAAAGGAGGTGTGTGTGTGGGAGGGTCATTGTGGAACACTTGGTTCAGTAGAAAATTAGAAATTGACTATAATAGAATCCATGATGTTATATCTTCAATCTTCTGGTGTTGAGGTGTTAAAGGGCCTTAAAAGCATCTGAGGGTTGGGGAGATGAGTTCCAGTCTTTGGTACTGGAGTCAACGCTTGGGCCCACAGTGACACCCCAAAGACTCTGCTTTGTAGGCTATTGTTGAAGCAATTCAGACATATTGTTGACTCCCGTGGTCCTAGAGGCTTGAGATGTGCCTATAGAGAGACCGCTGTCTTCCACTCCATGTCTCCATAGCGTTATTCCCATTCCCAGGGAGCTTGGGCACACATTTAGACCTTCTTAGACATAGTTCTCCAGGAGCCAAATCAGAACTGTTTACCAGCCTTGGCTTCGGTTGGTGTCTCAGTTAAGAAGGCAGATGATATAGCAGGTGAAGTTGGGGCCCACATTTAAGTATCACATGACTGTGTGATATCTGTTAACTCAGAGCACTGATCGAGGGACTAGCACTGCCCATGCGCTGCATTAAAGCGCTAGCAGAAAGGGCTAATGGAGATAAAGGCTGGGAATGAGGTAGTGGAGGAATGAGGGGTGAGTGGATGTCACTTGGAGACTGCAGACTCTGTTCTTTCTCTCCCACCTTAGAGGCTGTAGAGTGAGCCAGTCAGGGCAACCACTTCGCTTCCTCCTTCTGAGAAAGAGCAGAGGCATGTGGGCAAACTAGTTGAGCTTCTGGTAAGTACTAGGTCATTCTGGAAATGTTCGCTGGTATTGAAGAAGTGACTGAGAATGAACTGGGCTGGTTGGGCAAGCTTTCTTCTCCTGGCTGGGGATATACAAACCATGAAATTGGGTTCTGGGAAGCATCTTCTGGGGATCTTCTGAGGGCGGTGCACTTAGGAACAAGGACACTTGGGTCACTGTACATGGCCTAAGTACAGACACTAGGAAATCACGGTATGGGTGTTCTATGGTGTCTTCAAAGGATGCAAGGCTGCATCTGAGATGAGCTTGCAGCCTTGCAAATACTCTGATTCTGAGAAACCTGTGGATTTCTTGGGTTTTTGACCTGGGCTGCTCAGAAATATCTTTGGGTCTGTTGAGTTTAACTCCAAGGATGCAGATGCCATAGCAGAACAACCCCAATCTTTAAGTCTAGAGCTCACTGAACCCAAACTCTTCTTCCTCAGTTTGTCTCTTTCTATTCTAAAAGTTCTCCAAACCCACCTGAGTCCATATAGGGATCTGAACAAGTCCCGGGGGGAACTTAGAACATCTCTTGGATGCAGAAGTTGGAGGTACATGTGCCCTAGAATGATACTGCTATTAAACAATGTGTTGTGGGCATGCCATATCCAGGGGAGCTCCCATTCCATCCTCTGGCTACATGCCACGAGCAGAGTTTCACCCTCTCCTCATTCCCAAACTCACACACTGTGTTACAACCCTGGTATCTTGGACCATGACTGCATTCAGAGGTCAGCCTTTGAAAGGTAATTAAGGCAAACTGAGGTAAGGACACAGATAAGCATAAGACAGATGGTGTGAAGAACAGGGGAGACACACAATCCAAGGAGTGAGGCCTCAGACAAGGGCTACGGTCATCTCTGTGCATTCCTCTCACATTGCAGAACTGTCAGGAAAGTAACTGATTTCTGTTGTCCAAGTCATCCAGTCTGTGGCACTTTGTTATGACAGCCCGAGAAGGTGAGGATGCTCTATCTAGGAACACTTTTATTAGATGGATTTAGGGCTAGGTTAGCACTTGACCCTCCCTGGAAATCTTGGCCTGGAAAGGTTGTGTGGAGCTATCTGTGAAGGAACTAGTGTCTTCCCTAGTCTCCTTGCCTCTTCCCCACCATCACCTATCCCCAGCCAGCTCCAGGAATGCACTAGAAGCTGACACTGGAGGGTCAGGATTAGAAACATGCATCATGTCCTACAGTTAGGAACCAGGTTGCTGCACAGGATGACAAATGCGGAGACCAGGAGTTTTGCAAGAGAGAAAAAAAAACTGTATTTAAAGGCAGTTGAGGTGGGCACAGAGGGAAGAAGCGCAATCAAGGGCAAGTCCTGGAGGGTGGGGTCTGGTGACATTTGTGGGATAAAGAAGCAGGGTTGGGGAAGGGTGGTGGAGGTGATGTGCTTGGTCTTCATGGCTCCTCATGGGATGCATGATCAGAACATTATCAGTGATAGAATGTTCTGAAGATAGAAGCTTTGATCCTCTGATGCCAAAAGGTCACCCCCTGGGTCACCTGTTCAGATCCAGATGAGTCAATTTCAACAAAAAGGCCTTTGAGTTTCAGAGGAGTGACCCAGACAACCATTATCATCAGACTCCACGTGAGAGGTGCTCAAGGGAGAGAGTGGAAGACCAAGAACTGGCCCAGCTGTGGGGCTCCTCAAAGGAGAGAGTTTTAAAAAAGTCAACTTGAAGTGGGGCTAGGACGATGGTCCAGTGGGTAAAGCGCTTGCGAGGCATGAGTGAGGACCCGAGTTTCATCACCAGTGCCCATGCAATGGTGCTCCATGCAATGGTGCTCACCTGTAACCCCAGCACTGGGGCAGGGAGACAAGAACATCCCTGCGACTTGCTGGCCAACTGCTCTAGATGACCTAGCAAGTTCCAGGTTCACTGATAGATTGTCTCAAAAGATGGGGTGCAGAGCAACTGAGAAAGACATCAGACTTTGAACTCTGTCTGTCTATCTGTTTGCCTATTTGTCTTTCTGTCTCTCTGTCTGTCTTTCTGTTATACACACACACACACACACACACACACACACACAAACCTACACACACATAAACAAAAATAAAATAGAAGTCAGCTAGTCAGCAAGTTATTAAGAGCAAATGGAGCTGGACGACATTATTTATTTATTTAGGTCATAGTTTTTGTGGTGGTGGGGGGACCAAGCTGGTGTCTCATTTAGGGTAAGCAGCTGCTCTACTGCCAAAGTTCTTGCATTTTGGATCCCTTTAAAACATGCAAAGCAAAATATGGCTTGTGGGAACACATAAATCTACGTAACCTTCCAAAAGAACTTGGGAATCTCTTGCTGTTTTCCAGACCCACAGGAACACGTGGTCTCCCGCAGAGCCTTTGGGAGACCAACTATTTCCATAAGAATAGAAGTTTCTGGGCTGGGCTAGGAGTGGGGAGGAGAAGTCTGAGCCAGTGAAGAGACTTCAGAGCCAAAAGGAAGTCCTGAGCCTTGTCACTGCAGCTGGCTACTGGCCAATCTGTAGGAGCCCAGTCCTGTCTGAGTGAGCTTCCTCGAGAGGAAGGGAGGGAGGAAATAGTTAATGTCTCAGGGCAGCTGCAATCAGCTAGGCGTGGCTCTTTGGTCTGACTTGGGCTACACAGCTCCCGAGCCAAGGGGCAGAGGAAGGACGCCTTAGTCCGCAGAGCCTCCAGATGGCCGAATTGGATCTGATTGCCCCAGGGCCACTGCCTGGGATCACCGTTCACCCTTTGGCCCCTCTTGGCCCAGACCCTGGGTCAGCTATCCCAGTACAAGAAGAGGACACGGACTCTCTGGGGAAGCCAGGAGAGGAAACCCAGGAGCAGGGCTGTGGTCCCGCACAGGTCAGGGCTCCTGGTGATGAGGGGGAGGGGGAGATCCTGTGTGACTTCTGTCTTGGGGCCAGCAGAGTAAAGGCAGTGAAGTCTTGTCTGACTTGCATGGTGAATTACTGTGAGGAGCACCTGCGGCCACACCAGGAGAACAGCAAACTGCACAGCCACCAGCTGACGGAACCGGCAAAGGACCAGGATCTGCGGACCTGCCCTCTTCACCACAGCCCTCTGGTTGCCTTCTGCCACACACACCAGCAGTGCGTCTGCCAGGAATGTGGTGAGGGTGAGCACAGGGACCACAACACTGTTTCCCTAGATACAGCCCGCAGGAACAAAGAGGTGAGTGATGGGGTCTGTTCACATGGGAGGGGGCAGTGGGAGATGGTGTCCCTAGGCAGAGGTCGGACATGCTGCCATTCCTGGCTCTGTGGATGTCACTTCGTGTTCTGAGTTCACAGGCAAGGACTTTAGCTTGTAGTGCCTGGGTGTTGGTTCGGTGTAAGTCAATATCTATAGCCAGTGGCTTTGGAAACAAAAGTGGGTCACTGTCCCAGTCTCTGTGTCCCCGGTATGGTGCTGTCTCTATTGTCTCTGTCGCTGCATGGGAATTTCCTCCTGTTTCTTGTTAGTGTTTGGTAACGTGTGTTTGGGTGTGGGCTGTAGAAGTTTTGCTTCAGGAGGGTGGTATTTCTCCCTGCAGGATCTGTGAGGCACAGATACTATCAGCCCACGAAATACAAGCCTTGGCGGAAGTCCAAGAGAAAAGAATAAACCTCAAACTTCATTTCTCTTTTTCCTTTACCGCAAAAGAAGCCAGTCTAAAAGGCTGCAGTGGAGTTTTTTTTTTTTTTTTTTTTTTTTAAAAAAAGCCAAGATAACAGAATTTGAAACACACATTGAGGTTAATGCCAAGGACGACTTAACTTACTGGCAAATAAAAGTTTCTTACTAGATAGGGTTATCAGGAGTGGTGGGGAAATACTGTGCTCTGACACTTTACTTCCATCAGATAAAGAAACCATTTCTGGAGCACTGCTCACTTTTGTCCTAAAGCCAAAAAAGCCTGGACGAGGTCTCGGGGCACGGACTCCACAGTTTCACCTGCTTTCTGGCTCCCACTTTGAGTCTTTCCCAGCAGAAGTGGGATTGACTCTTGTCCTGCTTCACACCCAAGGCCGTCCCCTCTGTGCACTGCCCACAGTTGACAGGGCCACGTGCTCTTGGGCAGTAAAGGGAAGAGGTGCCTGGGTAAAGGACTTTCCTCACCAGGGTATATCAGAGGTAGACTCTCTCTAGTCTTTCTGGGCGTTGTTCTGGAAAGTTCTGCATTCCAGATGCTAGTGAGTCACCATTTCCGGCCTGGGAAGCTACTTGTCAACTGTGTCCTGTGTTTCCACGATCAAGGGATGTCCTATAAGGAAAGTACAGAAATCAGCAAAGGCATCAAAGGAAAGGGCCCCGCCCAACCTCCGGAGGGAAATCACCCTTGATGGGTATTGTCACTTCAAAGTTCTTTTTGTGGACTTTCCCATCCAAAATTTCAGTGATTATTGTGACGGCTCTGACTGTCTCTACTGTACTTGTTCACGTTCACACAGTTGAGTGAGGCACGGAAGCTTCTGAAATGCCACCTTATTGGAGAAAAATGAGGGAAAACTCAAATCACAACATTGTAATCTTAATACTTATCTATCTTATATGTGGGAGTCTGTGTGCATGTGGGTTTATATATGTGTTTATGCATGTGGAGGGAGAGGCTAACTTTAGGTATTGTCCTATAGGCATGCAATGAAATATGATTATATGTACCTCCTCCCATCCCCCTCCTCCTCTTCACAGTATGTCCCCTCCCAACTTCTCATCGTTTGTTTGTTTGTTGGTTGGTTGGTTGGCTGGTTTTTCGAGACAGGGTTTCTCTGTGTAACAGCCCTGACTGTCCTTGAATTCACTCTGTAGACCAGGCTGGCCTCAATTCACAGAGATCCACCTGCCTCTACCTCCCGAGTGCTGGGATTAAAGGCGTGCGCCACCACTGCCCAGCTGGAGCCAGAGCTCCGAACTGCTGAGCTATCCCTTCAGCACCCCCAGCTTCTTCCAATGTATGGATGTGGGATTCATGTCCTCAGGTTCGCACAGCAAGCTCTTCACTGACGGAGCTGTCTCCCCAGACCTAACTTTACTTAAAAAAAGTAACAAAACAACCATTGAAACAAAGAAACAAACCAAAAACCAAGCAAGATCTGGTGTACACACATTAGAGACATTTGGGCACAGCATGTTGCTATTCTCTTTGGAAGTAGAATCTGAATTTTACGAATTTTTAACTGGAAAACCTATGAATGAAGATGTTAAAACCAATCTCTACCAAACAATGCACCAGATTTGAGAAGTAGGGAGGAGATTCTCCACCCCAGTTCCAGATCCCATATCCACAACCTCTGCTCAGAACATCTACGCTTGGTTCCTTCAGAAATTCTCTGAGCCTATACCAACATGGATGCAATACAAACTGAAGGCTAGACCGCCTGGTACCACAGAGACGTGGGTGAGCGCTTTGGGCAGGAGGAGCAGTGTGTAGCACGTACGGAGCCCCAGATGTAGACATCTTAGGAGAGAGCTGTGCAACACCAAAGCCTGACTGAGAGGCTGTGTGTGTGTGTGTGTGGGGGGAGTACAGTGTAACAGACCTGTGTTTTCTGGTTTGCTTTAGAGAGTTGTGTCCTTTCCATCCCGTGTCCTTAGTGTTAATTCAGAGAGCAAATTTACTCTGTAGGCTCGGCCACACTCTGAGCGGCTCCACCAAGTCTGAGAAGGCAAAAGGTTTATTACAAGGAGCCCAAGAGCTCAGCTCAGAAGACAGTACCTTGAAGAGACAAGCACTATTAGGACTGTTTGGAAAGACTTACTAGACATATCGAAGATTCCAGAGACCCAGTGTCCCTTTCAGCTGGCCCACACCGCCTGCAAGTAAACTTGCTTTCTGAAGGTCACTCTGGAACCAGCCAAGGGCTAATAACTCGTGCAGGCATGTTGTGTACAGGAAATGGCAAAGCAAGGTCAGCTGGGAGGACACAGAGTGACGTTTCCGTCAGGCATGTGAGTCCTTTCTGATGTGCCCATGGTTCCCACTGGTTAGAATGATGGATGAAAACCAGGCATGGAGAGCTGGCTGCACATGACCTGATGAACTTCCTGATGAACTTCCAGAGCTCAGTTGCTCCTAACAGACCTCAATGCTCTTCTCGGCTCTAGATCATCGTCCTGAGGCTACTTTTATCTTGTCAGAATCTCAGGCCTGCCAGCATGGAAATGAGATCTCCATCTCTGCTGTCATCCCTAGCCTCCAACCTGTCTGTGAGTGTGAGTGTGTGTGTGTGTGTGTGTGTGTGTGTGTGTGTGAGAGAGAGAGAGAGAGAGAGAGAGAGAGAGAGAGAGAGAGAAACTTAGGTTCTTGGGACTACTTTTGTTATTTTCTTTGCTCCCAAAAGTGCATGTAGTTCCCTCCTGCTCTTCAGAGTGCACTTGACAGGTTAAGTGGGACATTGGCTGTACTGTGTACTCTCAGGGAATTTGGTCCAGGAAGGTATGACACATGCTATGACTTCACGGCATACCAAGGGATTGGGGCAACACAACTCGGCATGATTGAAGTGGGGAGCCGGCCTGGAAGTGAAGTCAGGCCAGTGCTCCTGGGAGAGGGAAGGCCTGAGTTAAGCCATGCCTTCGATCTTTGAAGACCACTAGTTCCAGGCTACCAGCTCAAACTTAGTATTGATTCCAAAGGTCAAGATGGATCCCGATTGTTCACACAAAATGGATCTGTGAAGAGAAGGTACCAACCATCTGAGAACTGGAAGGTTTAGAACTCTCACCCAGCATCACCCAGTCTGTTTGCTGGGAGTCAGTAGGTGCTCCAGGGCCACGCAGGGTAATAATTTCTCACAGAAACCCAAACGAGTGCCTTTGGGTCAGTGTTATATAACTTGCTTACTCACAAGCACCAGACTATCCCACTACGCTTTCCAAGAGCCAGGAGTGTGTGGCTTAGCTGATCTTATTGGCATGCAGCAGGTCCCGGTCCAGCCACGGAGGAATGGAGTCAGAGTCCAGGTCTAACTCTTGTGATCCTAAAGGCAAAGTTGGCCTTGCAGCAGAGCAGAAACTTAATGACGCTACAAGATCCTACAGTCAGGAACAAGGTCTTCAAACTCCAGTCAGCTCCGTTCTCAATGCTCCCCCACTCTGCTCTCTGGGAGAAGACTGGGCTGTCTGGGCTCCCAGCCTGCACTGCCCTGCTCCCAGGCTGTTGCACCATGGCCTGGATGAGTGCAGGGCCGCTCTCTTAGGGGACTCTGAGGGCAGAGTCTCAGGAAGCCCATCATTTTCTTTCTTTCCTTTTCTTTCTTTCTCTTTTTTTTTCCTTAGCCCATCATTTTCTAGGAACAGGAATAACTGGAGAGACAAGACTCCCAGACAGTCCCGCCTTTTGTGGTAATCCGGAGTGCTTTCCTTCGTGGTGACTCAGAGGGGTCCTCCTTTGGTGCGGAGGCATCCCTTTCTCCTTTTATGGAAGTCTGAGGGCAGAGGCGTGAAGCTCCTTGCTGGATACCCTGGGTGTCTCTCGAAGGGATAATGGCTTTAAAACACCCTTGAGGCATCGCTGCTCAGATGAACCAGCTTGCTAGGGCATGCTCTGTTGTGTCTTCCGATTCCTTCAAACGAGCAGCTTGCCTTTCTCTCTTTGACCCTGGGACTGGGTCATTGCAAAGGTTCCAAGATTGCCCTCAAATAGGCAAGGCACCCCTCCTCTCCTTTCCCCACTCTCCACTCCTAGACATAAGATCTCAAGTGTCAAGGGTGCCATGACCGAGTCACCCTCAGCTTTATTTCAGAGACCTAGGGCTTTAGCAAAGTCTGCCTATGGGCCCTCCACAATGTCTCCGTGCTCTGCCTAGAGTTGTTCCTTCAGTGTGTGTGTGTGTGTGTGTGTGTGTGTGTGTGTGTGTGTGTGTGGAGGGGGGAGGGCAGGGGTGAGGGAGGTGTGAAACTCCCCCAGGCTTTGTGGGAAAGCAGCTAGATGCTTAATTTATGACTTCTGAGGTTTATTGGGCATAATGACTTGGTTGGCAACACAGACCAAAGCTATTAAAAGCACTGAGAGCTGTTTATTAAGTGTGTGTGTGTGTGTGTGTTTTGCTGTCTCACTGTGGACGTAGGAAAGTGGCAGTTCCCCTGAGGTTTGCAAAGGCTTAGGTACTCTATGTTGGCAGATTGTCTTTTTGGCAGATGACGGTGTCCTCTGAGCCTAGAAGACAAGAGTGAAGAGTCAGGACAGACAAACCTAAGATTCTCAGGCAGGCCCTTGCTTTGGCTTGGGCAGGGGTGGGGTAGGGAGGGCAGAACTTGCCTCCAGGTGCAAACACAGAGCAAGAATAGAAAGCAGTTACGGGAGCAAGCATGGTGGTGACCGATCACAGAAAGGATGAAACTATGGACACTTACGGCTCACTTACAGTGTACCTGGTGCTGTAGAGTTCTTATTAATTTCACTTAGTTTGTTATCTCATAACCTGAGAAGTAGGCATTGTATCCCTATCTCCCAGGTAAAGAAATGGATCTTTAGAGACATTATGTTGTGAAATAAAAAGAAATGCACAGATGTCGACAGCTTTTCTTGGTGTTCTGGACGAATACCTGACAAAGAGCAGCTTATGGAAGGTAGAGTTTCTGCCTTCTAGGTTAGGAGGGGTGCAGTCTGTCATGGTGGGAAGGTAAGGTGGCAGGGGCTTGGACAACTGGTCACAGAGAGCCCAGGCTGGAGCGATGACTCAGCAGTTCAGGTCACTTGCTGCTCTTGCAGATGACTCAGCAGTTCAGGACACTTGCTGTTCTTCCCGGGGACCCAGCTTCGATTCCCAGCACCCAAGTATTCAAACACATGAGACTCTGGGAGACATCTCACTTCCAAACCACAACATTCTGCCTATCCCTGACCCCCGCAGGTACATGGCTATATCATAATAAAAAAAGTTCAAGTTACTTCTGAGACTAAAGGCAATCTCTTTCCTGGAACTAGTTCTTGTAAACCAGGCTGCCCTGGAACTTACAGAGATCTGTCTACCTCTGCCTCCCGAGTGAGTGATGGGATTAAAGGCATGTGCCGCCACCGTCCAGCTAAAGGCAATCTCTTAACTGTGGACCTCTGTACAATCAAACACAGTTTACACGGCTCTGATAAACAAGGCACAGAGTAAATATTCTCATTCCAAAAGGAAGGAATGGGACATAACAAGAAAAAAATTAAGCCAAATCAGGGTTAAAAACATATCCTTCATGCCCAGTTCTGAGACTGGGATGGAATCATCTGGGTTCCAGATGACACCCCCTATTCTGCTGACTGCAGCACACACGGCCTTTTTCCTGGGCAGGTTGCGTTCCATGTCCGCAGCTTTCCTCCGCAGTTATGACTCTGGAATGTCCTCAATTTCAACTTCCCTTCATACGGTGCCCCCTCAGGGTCTCTGCCACACACTGCCTGGTCTCACTAACTTCCTGGAATCCTGGTGCAACCCTCCACGACCCTCTGACTCTTGCACTATCATGTTTGCAAAACCAGGACCATGTGGGTGGGGTTCCTGGCTCTACTGGCAGTTCAAGATGTAGCTCAGCCCCTTGAATGACAGCCTTAGTGGGCCCTGTGTCCATCACTGGCTGAATCTTCTGAAATACATCACCAGGCAGTTGTTTCTGAGCAGAGAAACCCTGCTGTGACAGCCTTAGTTCAGAGCCTCTCTTTTCAAGTATATTTGCATCTTCAAAACCTGGCCCTTTCGATGATGAAAAGTCTTGCTCTCAAAGCACTTTCCCAATGTCCCGTGCAGACCACCGAGGATTCTCTTCGATATGGCTCATCCCTTTATTGATTGCAGATCATTTAGAATCTACCCTTGTCTGCATCTTTAGTTTCTCGTGCTAATTTCCTTGACAAGTTGCGTATTTTTTCCTACCTGCTCACGGCCTCTCTCACTGCAGACCTGGATGAGGGTAGTGAGCAGTAACCAGGACTTAGCCTGAATGTTACTCTATTCTGAGATGTCCTCTGCCTGACAAATTAGTCTATTACTTTTGAATTCACCCTGAATGAACTTCTCAGGACATGGACAGAATGCAGATTCTTTGCCAGAGTGGGACATAAATGACCCTTATCTCAGAACAGTTCAAGCTGAATTCAGTCCCAGGAGGCCACTAACACCTGTCTGTCCCTTTGCGCCTCTAGGGTGGTTTCTGAGATCAGCTTTAAAGGTCATGCTCTCCTCCCAGGGGAGAAAGGCAGGGATGCGAAGGACAGAAAGTGCTATCCTCCTTGGGGACTATCTGTATACACCAGACTCTTTGCTCCTGAATTCTCTCCTTCCTCTTCCTCAGGCTGACCTTCGGTGCACACAGCTGGAACTGGAGCAGAAGCTCAAGTTGAATGAAAACGCCATTGCCAGACTCCAAGCCAACCATAAGTCTGTCTTGGTAAGGGTGACTCGGGTGACCTCTCTGGCTTCAGCATATTTGGCTGCCACTGCAGGAGACCCATTTGGGGCTATAGGACATGGGTTAAAGATCCAGCAAAGGTCTCAGTAAGTGAAAGTAGTAGGCACAGTTGGCCACATTATGAGGTGCCTTCACCTTGTCAGGATTTCTTATAAAATTGACTTAAGTAGGATGAAGAGATGGATCAGGGGTTAAGAGTACCAGATGCTATTTAGGAGGACCCCAGTTCAATTCCCAGAATCCACGTGATAGCTCACAATTGTCTTTACCTTCAGTTCCAGGGGATCTAATGACCTCTTCTGGCCTCTATGAGCATCAGGCATGGGTATACAGACATAAATGCAGGCAAAGACCCATACACATAAAATAATAGTAAGGATATTTTAAAAATTGACTTAAGTATTAAAACTAGTTAAATGATTCACCTTTTAATAATATGAAATACACCCGGATTAGTCCCCCACCCCGCCTTCTCTGTCTGTCTCTCTCCCCCTCTCTCTTCCTTCCTCTTGGGTGGCACACACTCCCTCTTTCTTTTGACAGTTTCACTTTGTAGCTCACACTAGCCTAGAACTCACTATGTCGAACAGGTAGGACCAAATTTAGCAATCCTCCTGCAGCAGCCACTCAAGTGCTGCTGGGATTCATATCAGGATTATATATGTTTTCTTAACTAACGGAAATGTGTGTGTGTGTGCTTGTGATTAGAGGTGTTTAGTCAGAGCTCCAGGAACTTTGTGTCCCCTGGCTTCTTCTATCCCAGTAAGGTGGTCTGGAAGCTGGAGAAAAGAATCAGGAACTCCTAGATTAGTCAGTGGCATTTGGTGAGGCCAGTGCTATGACAGGCAGCTTAACTTTAGTCTCTTCTGGTTTGATTTTAATTTTCCAATAGTAAGTTCCATAAATACCTCTCACTGGTAACAAGACATGAGCTACCACTCAGAAGAGAATGTAGGACACCTGCCCTGTGTCACTGAGTTGGAAATGTCATCTTAAATGCTAAGAATGAATGATTCTGTCTACTTGACTCTCCACCAGTCACCCACACTTTATCCACTACCTATTCACCTACTTATCTGTTTATCTACATACCTACCCATCCGTCCGTCCGTCCATCCATCCATCCATCCATCTGCCCATCCATCCATCCATCCATCCATCCATCCATCCATCCATCCATCCATCCATCCATCCATCCATC